ATTTCAAGCCCGATACAAACAACAGAAACTTGTAAAGATAAAATTTGGGGAAATAAAAGAAACAAATGAATTATTGAAAAAAAAATCTAAGAAAGAGCAAATTTACTCTCAAAACTTTTTGATTAAGATGTCTTTTAAAGTTTAATTTCTGGTTCCAATGTTCCATTTACAAAACGTGTTCTTTGCTTGTAACATTAATGGAACAAATTTCACTCCATATTTTTCGAGGACTTCTGCAGGCAATCTGTTTTCCTATTCCTTTTTGTAAATTTTAAAACTTGTATGTTGCCTCTTGTAAAATAACAGAATCTCCTTTTATTGATAAAATATTTTTTTCTGTTTCTGCAGAGATGATTTAGCGACATATTTTATAAATTATGTTGCTTTTGGAAATTGAAACGATGACCTCTGGATACCAAAAGCTTTTCAGTCTTCTTATAAATGAAATATCCTGATTAATATTCTCATCCTCTCCTGCCATCTGTGCGCAGTTCCTTTGCTCTTTGGAAACACGAAACAGATCCACGATGTTCTCAAAAACTCTATTGACAGCCAGTAGCACACACATTATAACAAATATGGAAGAAGTACGTAGACGAATACTTTGATATATATATTTACAGTAATAAACATTGTCTCCTATTGTTTGTTGATGATGCACAAGTTTACATCTCCATGTTACTGCTTGACCCTGGTCCACTCAATGATATCAATGACTGGGTCAGTCAAAACTTCCTCCAGAAAGCACAGAAATCATCAATTTATGTCTGAATAATGTGAGGATAATCATCAGCTCACCACTGTACACAGTGGGACTAAATACTGAAAAGGAGATGAGAAACCTGGGTGTCTCTTTGGACTCTGGTCTATTTCTAAATCTGCCTCCATCTTTAAAGACATCACCAATATAAAAGCTTTCCTGTCCAAACAGGACAGAACAGAAGCCGGTTCTTAAATCACTGCCATGGTTACTGGTAAGAAAGGGACCATGTAGTTCCTACGAGACCTGTTGACTCGGCGACAGAGGTTCCAGAACCAGCTTAAGCAGCTTATAGTTTCCCTGCTTCTCATATCTGGATCTCATATTTCTCATATTTTAAAGCTGAAGATTTTGGTTCAAAATTTGGGTCAAAGAATCAAATAAATTGTTTGAGACGTTTAGATCTTTTAAACCTTCAATATCTGTATTCTATCAATATCTGTATTTTAACACAACGTCTGTTATTTGATGTTGTGTAAAGGTCTTTGGATTTCTGGTATCAATGGTTCTGGATGAATAGGATTGGTAAAATAACCATAATGCATGTTGGGCCGATCAAAAGCAAACCTTCTGAGCAGAGTGGATCAGAGCCCTGCAGGCGCAGCATTCTGCAGCTCGTCATGTGAAGCTGAAGTGGACTCTGCAGGATGATGCGAGCGCTGAGCTCTGCAGAGTCGACCTGAACGCCGCCTGAATTATTCATGCTGCTCTCAGAGGGAAGCATCTGATGAAAATTTAAACATGCTGCGTTTCTCCTCACTGAAAACACAGCTGGATGGTTTGAAAGGCTAAAATCTCCACACGCCGCCCTGGCTCAGGTCGCTGGTCCGATTCCTCCTGCTGCAGCGTGGAGGAAATGACCTCTGACCTCTGAATGTTGCTGTTTACTGTGCAGCATCAGAGCAAAGGCTGGTTTTTGGGAACACATAAACAGAAAAGGTCATGAATTTAAGGACAGATCAAGGACCAGACTCAGAAACCTTCAGAACAACAAACAACTTAGAAGGTTTTATTTATTCATTTGGTAATAAACAAACAAAAGACTCAGCAGTGCAGCTAAATGGCCTGGAGGTAAATTGCACTGAGGAGAATTAACCTAAAACTGATTAGAAAAATGAACCGATCAACTGACCTGGAGGGAACCTATAGAGGAACCTATAGGGAGGAACCTAGAGAAACATATAAAAAGGGCTAATTTGGAGCGATCCATGAAAGATTCTGGGGAGGGCCTTGGAAACAACCTAAGAAGGAGGAACTGAGGGAGGAACCTGGGAAAAAAAATCAAAAGAGGAACCCTTTGGGGGAACCAAGGAAAGACACTAGGTAGGACCCTCGAATGGGACTTTGAGAGGAATTGTGAGAGGAATCCAGGGTGGAATCTAAGAAGGAACCAAGGTTAGGAGGAAACTTTGGAAGAATCTAGAGGGGAACCTGAGGTGGAACCTGGAGAGGAATTTGCTAAGGGACCTGTAAATGAACCAGTGTAGGAAGGTTTGAAATACATTTTCTTAGGAACATTTTGAGGGAGAACGAATCAAAGCCAAGCAGAAGCTGAAGAAGGAGAAATTATTAAAGCTGATGAGCTTTGAGATGCAAAGGCAGCAGCATGTCTCTAAACAACAGAGGCTCAAAGAAGGAGACCAACTGGAAAGAAAAGCTGTTTCACCAGTGATTGACCTTCAGCATGGAAACAGTAATCAGAAATAATGATTCTAGTATGTGTCAGGCTGGGAGGTGTTGGTAGACCACCTGTAACAAGCCTGATAATTGTGAAATGATTTGTTTAAAAATAAGTCCTCCTCATCTTTTTAGGTCAGCGCCTGATTCTGATAATTTAACCAGGCAGAGTAATGACTGGTTCTGTAAGGAGTGAAGGGGTGCCCTGACTGAGAATCACCAAGACAAACATGGAGCTAAGGACCAGTTCTTGATCCGGTAACTGTAGCTTTAGGGACTTGATGGAACAGAGGAACCAGACTGAAAGGTTCACTTCCAGGGGAAAAAAGCTTCTTCAATGACAGGCTCCTAGGGTCACCAAAGTTGGCCGTCACAGATTCTTCCTCCCAGTTGGCAATAGACTTTAGAACCCTCATATTACCAACGTTGTTGCTTTTGTTCTTGCTATTAACTGCTGTTTTTTCTCTTGTAAATGTCTGCTGTCGTTATAAATTTGTATTTATTGACTTTATTAAGCTAACAGTGCTGTAAAAGTAAAATGAGACAACTAGCTTTATTTTAGGGTGTGGAACTGATCCAGGACCAACTGGGTCCTGGATCCACTGGTCTCGCCAAAGTGTCTTTAGGTGTGAGTTTGTGTAATATTGTTATATGTGTCTGTGTGTCCATGAGAAGGACTGGGGATCGTTCAGGGTGGACAGGTCTCCCACCTTTAGAGACATTTCATCCAGCTCTAAACAGATGCTGCTGATTGGTTGAACAGTCGGCTGAACCAGAGAACAAACTATCAGACAGAATTCTGGATTCCTGGATTCCTGGCAGAGGGAGTTCAACCGGAACTTCTGGTTGAATGGCGCCACCCCATGGAGGAGAACTGTAACTACTGTAAACTGGATATTCTAGAACCCTCAGAACAGCATTTGGTTGGTGTAGAATTTCTTTATAGACATTTTAAATCTTGCAATTTTGTGTTACTCTTTAAATAAAAAAAAACATATATATATATATATAAAAAAAAACATAATTAAAAAATGTAATCTAAGAAAAAATCAGTTACTAACCAAAGTCTATAGTAAGTATGTGTTTATTTCAATTTTCCATTTATAAAGGATGATGTTCTATGGTGTTCTTTTTTTTCTGTTCTTTTTGTGTAGAGACTTTGACTCCAAGAACTTCTGGATGAAGTTCCTTCTCACCCTTTACACCTTAGACTTCACCTATAACATATAACTGCTACCTCCAGAAGTTCTCCAATGACTCAGCCATTGTAGGTTGTGTTTCTGAGGGGAATGAGCTGGAGTATCGATCGGTCATCATGAACTTTGTGGACTGTTGTGAGAAGAGCTACCTAACACCAGTAAGACCAAAGAGATTGTGATCGACTTCAGGAGAAGATCTCCATCTCACTCCCCCGTGAACATCCAGGGGCAGGACATAGAAACTGGAGAGTTTTGAATACCAAGGTGTTCACGTCAGTAATAAACTGGACAGGACGCATAACACAGACACCCTGTATAAGAAGGGCCAGAGCCGCCTCTACATCCTGAGGAGGCTGAGGTCCTTTGGATTGAGCAGGCCCCTGGTTAAAACCTTCTATGACTCCGTGGTGGCATCAGCCCTCCTCTACACTGTTGTCTGCTGGGCCCCTGGCAGCACAGACTGGGACAGAAAGAGACTGAACAAACTGATGAGGAAGGCCACTTCTGTCCTGGGCTTCAATCTGGACTCAGTGGAAGAAGTGGCTGAGAGGAGGGTGCTGTCCAGACTTACATCCATCATGAACAACACCTTTCACCCTCTGCACCAGACTGTAGAGGAGCTGAGCAGCTCCTTTAGTGAAAGAATTTTACACCCTGTTTAGAAATAGAAGCGCTACTGCAGGTCATTAATTCCTGCTGCAACCAGACTCTACAATGCAATACTACAATGGCAATAACTTGCACAATATATAATGTGCAATTTACCATTTAATACCCTTTACAATAACCTGTTTCTCTACATTTGACACCCAGTGAAATAATTATATAAATAAATATCCATCTATATAAATAAACATGTAAACACCCTGTGCAGTAACACTGCTATAAAAAAGCTGTGATATGTGGATACACTGTATATACTGTATATTTATCCCATGCATCTTTTTCTTCCTTTCGCTCATTATTCTCCTTTGACTATTTGAGCTGATGTAAGGAGTAAATTTCTCCATTGTGAGATTAATATAATCAATCAGTTGAACATTTTTGAATAGAAATCTTAGTAAGGATTTACTTTGAAATAGTAAAACACATTTTTCACGTTTTTAGACAACAGGCTGAAACATCCAATTATTCTGTCAAAATTATATTATTTATTCAGGACTGTCTGACCAATGTTAAAGGCTGTTTCCCCTGATTATGTTTTTTTCTTTGTTAACTTAATCTTTATAGGCTCGCTTTATTTATTTTTTTAAAGTCACGTCTTTGGTTCTGTTTTGTCTGCGTTCTGTAAATGTCCTTCACAGGACTCTGTTCCACTCGTGCCCTGAAATCGGTGACGTCACCGCTGTTTTTATTTTGAAAGGCTTGGATTAAACATACAGCCGGAAGAAGAGAAGAAGACTCAGATTTGTTCACACCGTAGAAGCTCCGAACTCGAGGTTCGACCAGAACCCGGTAAGACAATCCACCTGGGGCCGAACCGGACGGTGGTCCGGCTTGGAGCAGCGGGTGAACCAAACCAACTGCTAACATATGGCGCGCGCCATGCTAACTGTGGACAGTAGCAACGCGGACTCGGCTCCGGACCGGTGTTATAGATTAACTGGTGCTGGCAGGACATAGTGTTCTGTGGGCGGGGCTTTTAAGGACATCAGAACCCGGAAATAAACAAGCTAAATTGTTATTTGAAATGTTTTGTGAGTCTCTTAATTTGCTTAAAGGTTAATCTAATCAACTACTTTGCACTTTGATTAGCAACATTGATCTGATTTAAACCTGTGTTCTTATTTTGTTTTTCTATTTTTATCATTTATTGTTATCTTTATATCTGCTGTTTTATTGTATATTGAATAAGTAAAACTCAAACTGAAATTTAATATTTACTCTTTGTAACCTGTTTTTCTTACAATAAAACATAAGAACTACAAATAGTTGCACAGTATAATCTGATCCATTACTTCTCCAATACTCAATAAATTTTCATCAGATGGTATTTTATTATTGCTTAATGCAGGTTTGATATAATCCCTGCAGAACTAAAAAAAAAGCAGATTCATATCTTGTCCAGGGGCCCATTTCATAAAGCAGGGTTAGTAGGGATCCAGTGTAAGTTGTGGGATCAGTTCCTGCTTACTGTGGCTTTTCTAGGATGTAATTACCGTGAATAAGTTTATGACTATAAATTATCTGCTCAATAGCAGGATTATTTGGTTATTAACCTCTACTTTTTAGCTTAGATCTAAACAAGGAAGTGTTTGGAATAGTGTTTCCTTTTCTGGAAGAACCTGTTGAGGTTGAAGAACAAATAGTCTGAAGATATCACTCTCATGAGAGAATGATTAAAATGCAATTAGAGGTTTTATCTTTTCTAAAGGAATAACTTCTACAATTCTGCCTTTATAAAGACAGCTGATTTGAATATTTTCAGTATTAAATAAGATTTATAAGCATTTCAATGTTACTGTTACGTCTAATGTAGACTCAATGTAATTTCTGATACTAATACAGCAGCTCCAGGGCTCGATGTTAACCATTGCCCGATCGCCCAGAGCAAGTACTTTTTTTGTCAGGAGAGAACAAATTTCATTGCATTTGCCCGCCGGGCGAGTGCAGTGATCGCAAAAAAAATATTTATCACTCAAAATTACTTTAAAATCATCGACATTAGCTGAAAACGGCCCAGCCGGCGCAATTTTTGTTGTTTTGTACATATTCTCGCGTGATTTTAAAAAGACGCGTGATTTGAAAAAGCCGCGAGATTTTCCGCCAGATGGCGTGATTTTTGTCAACCTAGCGGTAATTTTGATGTAGTTACCAAAACGACAAACAAGCTAGAAAGCGCTATCATATGGCAGTCTTCTGTACAGTGGTCATACATTAAAAAATGTTCATTAATTTTTTTTTCTCTCAGACATTGGAAAGGTGCA